AAGCATAGGTGTTCATCAAAATAACCTTATCAAATGTCAGAAAAACATCAACGATCGAATTTGCAAGGTAATGTGATTAAAAGAAAAACAGCAAAAAATCTCCGAATTCTAGTATTCATACCGATACCGATATGCACGACGTTGATGTGTGTCAGGGTGGCAATCATGGCAAGGTCCACCAGTCATGATGTATAGTGTGGTGTGAGTTTGTTCACGTGTGATCTTTGTATGCGGTGTCGTCACCAAATGTAAGCTGTGTGGTCAAGTGATGGGTGCGTGTAGGAGTCGGTGTCCATCTTCTATCTTCTCTGTACCCGAAAATACATCTGTCTCACCAGGGAGCGTTGATTAGTAGACTCGATCCGCTGCTGGAGTATGCTGCGAATACGCAGATCGCTGTCCACTCACGGCTGTCCGCTAGTCAGGCTTGGTCCACAGCTGGAGTGTGCTCATGACTCTCGAGTTAGTATGCTGCCAGTTTGCCGTTGGCTGCTGTGCCACTCGCTGGGAGGTGGTCTGCACGCCAGGCTTGATCTGCAGCTGGAGTGCTCTGTGGCCCCGCTTGCCCAGTACTTGCAGCTCATCAGCAGAGCGGCTACACGTCGCAGGCACTTGCCCCGGCATGTTTCCAGTCTGTAATCAACAGCCTGGAGAGTAGCTTGGTGTGCGAGCATCAGTTATGGCTCCCTTCCGGAGGTCTTACGCAGTGCAGCAGCCTGCACGTCTGTCTCTGCTCACAAGCGTGTTGCGCCTGAAACATCGTGATTTATTTTATTTTATACCTACGTGACTTTATCGAAAGAACCAAAGACTATATGTATTCCTGCAGTCACGAAAGCTTCAAATCAAGATAGTTACTGTAGTTATTTGCATGTACGTTTTTATATTTACTGTAGTTATTTGCATGTACGTTTTTCGAAGGCCAAAATAAATTTTCAAACTAAATAAAGGCTCTGCTTTGACATTCGTCCATGCTCTGTTCCCTAACCAGACAAAAGTCCAAGGTATTTCTGTTTGACAACCTCGCCACTATGAGCGCTCTCATGAACAATTTTCTGCTACTCCGTAACTTAACACAACACTACAGGTGCAGTCCTTGGCTCCGCATGTGACTTAGAAAAAAACGTAAGAGAAAATTCCAATGACACTTAAGTCTGCCTTAGTAGGAACCCAACATTATTGTCAGTCACGATGGATTTTGTCTGCTGTTTAGATAGGATTTATAGCTTATGTGATTAATTACAAAAGGCACATTAAGGCCCCACGTTCCACCCATCTTTGTACACGTGGTGCATCCATCGGGTCAGCGTTAGTTCATCCCAGCTTCTGCCTCCGCCGACATTCTGGTGCCTGATGTCATAACTCCTATCATACTTCCTCCGGAGGTCATTGTGTAAGCACAAACCCACTTAATTGCGCCTAGATATGGTGTGTGTCTATAGCCATGTTTATTGTGAATCAACCTTGGTTACCTTCCTTTAGGTCGACTCATCCTTAAAATAAATTCTTGCCACAGCATGCAATTCTAGCCACTGGCACGACACAGGCGGTCGGGCAGGTTCTAGTTATACCCCGAGCATACATATTATTTTGGTCTTGGAGAATTGACATAATTCGTATTATGTATATTTTCTGAATGATCATTAGGTTCAATACCTCAATACAAAACTTCCATACGTTTTTTATGAGATTATATTCTTAACCCAAACCTCATGGCACTTGTGTATCGATAAGCGTATGTTAATAAGCATGCAAATAGTCATATTCAACACCTTCTGCCTATGTGTTGTATTGTCATTTAACAATACATATATCCTATCCCTAAAGTTAACATTGAATACCATGATGTTTAGGAATATTCATATGGAGTGGTTGTCACTTGAACGTTTCAACGTTCCAGGCACCAGGGTTTGTTTATCAGAGAGTGAAGCAGCAAGGGACATTCTTGTCTCTTTGCCCTGTATTTGCCCTCGGGTAGGCAGCGTGTTTATGGGTCCACGTTTGCGGAAGTGTCTCTCTCAAAATTTCCCTGGGTCACTTCTTGCCCATGCAAGAGTTATTCCTCTATGGCATATATGCTACATGAGTTAAATTTATTCCTGGGAAACAAAATATACTACGGCTTCAAAGCTCGCCTGAGCTTTAGTTATTCTCATCATGCCAATCTGATCAATGTCTCTTCCATTCTGTTTCGCCACTTCACATTCTAGTGCTGTTTTCGCTTTGTCACCTGGTTTTCCAGACTTTCAGAATGCAGGGAACACATATGTTTACCAGGAACTGTGACATTCAAAATAGACAAGATATTTAAAAAAATTGGTGCAGGCATATATACAATAATGACTAGTTTAGCACACTGGTGTGTTTGAGAATAAACCCACACAAATTACAATTCGAGTATAACATTTCGCCAGTAATTACAACGAGCCAACAGACAGAATTGTGGAGAAATGTCCATGTTTATGTCTTAAATAGAGGGATTAAATGTGATGCCATCATTTGTGAGCCAATCAGTTGCGAAGACCCGAGGGGGGTTAACGTATTCATAGATATTACAATGGATATCTATTCTCGGTGAGGTTAGTCACAGTTAATCAACATAGATAATGTACATGCATAATGTATATTCTGTAGTTTTTTTGTACAAAAATCGCAATACTCGTTATTGGCTGCTGACAGTAAATCACCATCGACGATCGGTGACCTGTATCGGCATGCAATTAAACAGTGTATTACTTGATAATATGCTTCCAAGCCGCACTAAGACTGTAACTATCAGAACAGTTAAAATGTTTTTTATTTCTCTCAATTTCAATACATTCTCTAATTTGTCTTGGCCAGTGGTAATGAGTTTTGCACAAAACATCAACATCAACATCAATTGATTATAATTGTTAGTACGAGTGTTCTGCAACTGCTGACAGTTGTATTTGGGAGAATTTAATATTTCTGATGTTTTTCTAGTCTCGTGCTGATCATTCGTCCTGTTTGCCCAACATAACATTTACAACACATGCAGTTAATCCGGTACATACCTTCTGTTAATAACTTCGGTAATACATCTTTGGTACCAGATATTAGTTTTGTATTTTAGAAACCATTCCAAATCTTACTCGGATAGTTTGCTTTTCCAAAAATCTGGCTAGTATATCAGTTAATCCCGCAATGTATGATATTTTAATTGCTTGATCAGTTTCAACAATTATGCTATTTTATTTGGTTTTGGCATTCAGTGTCCTGTTGATTTGTGTATCATTGTAACTATTTAATTCCAGCGCTTCTTTAACATGTTTAATCTCGCTTTATTTTACCGTTTCGGTCTATTTGAGACTGAAACAGGAGGATTTATCCACAATTTTAGATGACGCCTGATGAAGCTGGTTATAATTACCAGCAAAACGTCGTACTTGAATTGTAAATGTTGTGGGTTTACTCTCCAACACACCGGTGTGCTGAATTAGTAACTAATTGGCATGTTTTGTTTACGTGACAAATTTTACTGGCTATGCCAGGTGGCAACGGGTTTAATGGCACATTTAGTGCAGGAAGTACGCCATCAGGAGGAGGCTGCAAGGTGGGCCAAGGCAGTCTCTCTTGCCAAACAGGGACAGTGGACTCGATGGGACAGTGTGGAGAAGAGGAAGATCAGCTGGAAGGATCTGTGGGCCATGGAAGCGAGGCGGTTGAGCTTTTCCATCAGAGCAACATATGACGTCCTTCCAACACCAGTTAATCTTCACCAATGGTATGGTGAAGATCCGGACTGTGCCCTCTGTTCCATGCCAGCCAACCTCAGGCTCATTCTCACAGGGTGTAAAACAAGCCTCACCCAAGGACGCTACACTTGGCGTCACAACCAAGTCCTTAAAAACCTTGCGTCCGCCCTGGAGGACAAGCGAGCTGCCACCAACTCCCTACCACCCCAGCAGCATCACACCCCTTACGGACGACCTTAGTCTGCGAAGGGGCTAAACCACCGAAGAGCGGCTCTACACCATTAGAGCGAGACCAGCTGTGCTTGGCCCGCGACTGGAAAATGCTAGCTGACATTGGCCGGCAACTTGTGTTTCCTCCGGAGATCGCAACCACCACCCTAAGACCTGACATTGTGCTCTGGTCCCGTTCGCTCAAGAAGGTCTTCATCATTGAGCTCACAGTACCCTGGGAGGACTCAGTAGATGAGGCTTATGAGCGAAAACATCTGCGCTATGCCGATCCAGCACGGCATCATGGCTGGAACACAGAAGTCCGACCAGTGGAGGTGGGCTGCAGAGGTTTTGTGGCAACATCTACAACCAGACTGCTTAGAGACCTGGGAATTAAGGGCCAGAGCCAGCGTTCGGCAATCAGAGCTGTATCGGAGGCGGCAGAAGGCAGCAGTCAGTGGCTCTGGATGAAGAGGAAAGACCCCAGCTGGGCCCCGAAGTGAGAGGGCCAGGAGGTATGCGGTCAACAATGCTTGACTCAGGGAGGAGGACGCCCCTGCCATGCATAGTCCCATGGGATGTTGGCTATCTACAACAAGGCAACTCCTATGACTAATTGGGAATGGGATGCGCTCCCCAAATTTCGCCAGGCTCACTGTTCATGAACTCTTGGAAGTGCTTGCACAAAGGATAGTAACATCTCATCCTGTGTTCTTGGAATCCAAATACGCTCTAACCCAAGAAAACCTTTATTAAGGAAATATAGTACAACTTAAACTCGATAATTTGAATTTAAAAAAATTGATAAGCAGACGGTTTGAGGTATCTCTGAGAACTGTTCATTTGGGCATGCCGTCAACATAAACCCATTAAATAATTATTAATAAAAATATAAGGCATGAAAGTCTACCAAGTTGAATTGTATTGAGTTTTGTGTATTATATATTTTTTTGCTTTATATACCAGAGTTTTGTGATATTCGGTCCATGTTTCCATTGCAAGCAGTGTGCTGTATATTCTTCTGCCTGTAGTGAATGTGATGTGGGGGTGATGAATATGCTTTTTTTATTACAGCTCGGCTTTGACATTGAGAACCCAGATAAAACAAATTCTGCATCAACAAAGCATCATGTCCGGCTGGTGGCCAAGGTGGAGTCAAAGTCCTTTAACAAGGAGATCACGGCCCATGCGCTGCTCTCATATCGATCAGGGCATGTTGTTGTCCAGACTGACAAGCCTATCTACACACCAGATGAGAAAGGTACTGTGTACTAGGTTTGTTAAAATCCTGAGTCAATGAGTAGGTGAGTGATTGAGTGAGTGGGTAATTATGTGATTTGGTGAGTGAGTTGGTGAATAAGTTAATGGGTAAATATATGAGTGAGTAGGTGAGTGAAGGTGTTACTGTGACGTGCAGTGTGGTGGTTGAACATCGGAGGAAATAAAATGGTCAGTCTGGTTGACCAAGTCCTCAAGGTGGGTGGAGGAATCATTGAGTTGGAACTGTCACCATGGTAGTGGAAATTAAATATTGATAAGGAGGGAACTGTTTCTTGTTTCCACCTTATCGCGTTTATTAGCATACCAAACACCATTTGTTGTCATGTGATCTCAAAATAGGCACAACTCACGATGCCATACTGCGGTTCTTAAAATAATTAGTTTTGAATAACTGGTAACCATATGAAAAAAGTATGAATGGTTACTGGTTTTCTGCACCGATAGGAATGGCTAGAGCAATGGACATAGCACGTTTCTAAAGCAGTTCAAACAATGGGGCAAGTTTCTCAAAACCCCCTAGCCCACCTCCGTGAACCCAGCAGTGTAAATGGGTAAAACACGAGTTAGTCAATCCACAGGTCGCATGTGGTGGGGCGAAGCGTGGGTAAGCCCATCTCTTCCAACACGTCTGGTCAGCTTGACAAAGTAGATCAAATACCCTGAGGTGGTGACTTGACTGAGCAGAAGCATTGGCTGCTTGATGCAGAGGTTCATGGTTTGAATCCAGTTGCTACCCTGATTGAAACTGTGGGTGTATAGTGTAAGCAGGTCTGGTTAATTATTATTATTTAAGGATTCATGAAAGACTACATCACTTTCCAAATTGATCAAATTGCAGATGTGTTTAATCTAAAGATTGAATTGGAGGATAATATTAGAATACGAATCAGTGCTGCAAGTCGATACTCTGAAGCACACTTTTTACAACAAAATGCAACGAAACCATGCACAAAGGAGGTGCAGGTACATAAGCATTCACTTAAGAGTGGCTTTATAGAGCTTAGTCATAACTATCGATGTGTTTTCATCATTCGCTTCTTTACGGCCTTGGCTTCATGCATATTTTGCAAAGTGAGATCTTGAAACAATTTGTATCAAATAAGTTTACTCACTGATCCCGTGCCGGCTACATTGACGGCACTGGTGACACAGCCATGCGTTCCTCTCTCTCTCTCGCTGCATGAGAATAACCTTCGCTGCTGTGACAAGAATATATTTTATTCGACATGCTGGCTTGATTCGCCAATGTGCGACTTGAAGACACCGAAACAGTCGAGTGGACTCCTTTTTCCTGCTGTGGGCTTATTGCCCATAAGTACTTGCTTGTCTGCTTCACAGTGGACAATTCAGATCCCGTGCAATCCAAAAACAGGCCATATGTCCCATGCTTGAAATATAGAGGAATACATTGATTAGAGAACCCATATAGGTTATTGATCTAATTTTGACTTTTAAAAAGTGAGCTTAGGTAGGACACGTCACTAGATATAAGATAACCGGTTGGTAAGAATAACTACTGAGTGGCAACTAAATGCGATGCGTATGGGTGTTTCAGCTCAGTTATTATTCTAACATAATTTATTGTATTCTGAAAATGAATTGCATAGTTCCAACCGAAACCTTGAATCCATTTTCTAAATGTGCCTGTGAAAATTGTACAACTTACTGGTGATCTGAAACAATAATAATTGGCATGTTAAAATTATTATATAAGTGACAATTTGTGGGAGGGTGTAATGACATCACGTCGTCTAAACCAAACATCAACTATAAATCAGTGGTGAAGATGTTTTTGTGTACGTGTGTTTTACAGTCAAGTATCGGATGTTTCCAATGAATCAGAAGATGTCACCAATCCCTGGTTCACAGTCGATGACGGTGGATATTGTGGTATGTATTTCTCTTTTTGTAGTTTTCAATAAATGTAGGGCCTTGTCTCAGCCTTCAATTCTTTTGAGCATCAGTGACCATTCTGACCTGTATTTTCCTGACAAAGCTTGAGATAGTTTCACATGACACATTTAATTGCTGCTAGATTTGGTTTTGAGAATTGTTCTTCACCGTACCAGCTGAAACAATATAATTATCATATCAAATGCTTGTACACATGACCTCATGCCTGAGTGAGCAGCACTCAGAGAGACCTCGACAGTCCTATCTACATATTCATAAATTATTTATGAACTAAATTACCTATTTTTAAGTTGTATTCTTTTCCTCATCTCTTACTTCAACCTTGAATTTTGAGGCTAATTCTAGGTTCATTAAACCCCCCTGCCCTGCCTCCTACTTGTTCTGCTTCATCTACTTCGGGCCCTCGATGAGATATAAGGCCCAATACTATGAGTGACTGCAAACTCAGCTTCTCCACGTATATAATGGTAGACAGAGCTCCGGGCAAGAAAGAAAAAGCGACCTCTACACTCGCCTCTGTACACAAAGTCAGAGCTGAGGAACTCACCAAAGAGGTCCTGCATCTTCTTCAGGAACTGCAGTTAAAAATCGACCAAATCCGGAAGAAAGCTGAAGTAAACGCCATCCTTCCTGGTGTACTTTAACGACAAGCTGGGGGCAATCGGCAAGAGAGTGGAGAAGCAAAGAGGCAACCACAATGCCCCTTCAATCCATTGTGGAGCGATCTGAACTGGAAACAAGGGGAAGCTCTGGCAGCTGGAGGAAGCATATAACAAGCTGCAGGCCAAGAACAGGGAGAGCCAACTGAAGACCAATGGCCTCTTCGAGAACATTCAAGGCAGTACTCCATATGGTGCCCTCTTCTTCATCCAGAAGCATCCCCCCATTACCCTTTTGGACCCTGAAACTCCAGACCCCCTGTACATCTTTCCAAACATGATTTTATATCCGGACATAATTGGCAAGAAGGATGGCTGCATGGCTCATGGAGACCAATAACCCGAGAGCTCGCTCTTTGATAATCCTCTTCTCTAATAGACAAAGGGCTGCTGACGAGGTGGACAAATGGAAAGGGCATCCTAATCTAGGGAAATCGAGTCTACAATGCCCCAGACCTTACACCGGCCAACTTGAAGAGAAGAAGCCTGTTACTCACCCTGCATCGGGATTTGCTGTACCATGCCAATTTTAAGATCCACACATTTGCAGGGGGATAATGGGACTTCATGACCCTGGGGCAGGCTATGCAGTGCAAGGATGAATCTTGACTTAAAGCTTTTGTGACTGCATGAATTAATATTCTATTGGTCTTTCGGTAAAGTCACGTAGATAGGTTCAAAGAAAATAACAAAATAACAAAAAACTATGACGTTTAGATTGCAACACAAGCGGTCATCATCAGATGACGACCGCTTGTGTTGGGATCGAAACGTCGTAGTTTTTGCCCAAGAAAAATACGTATTTTTCTTGGGCAAATTAATAGGCAAAGAAGTAGCGTTATTAATCGTACACAACATGGCTTCCATTAATTCAAGACCGTTCTCTGGAATTGTGTCGCTAATAGAGAAGAGAACCAGGGAGATGATCATCGGTAGAGATTGGAACCTGGTCCTGGACCCTACTCGCACCTTCTCAGGTCGAACCCCTCCACACAACAGAGGAATCTTCGCCAAGAAATGATGTCCCAGCTCCAACTAGTAGACCCATGCAGAGCCCTGAACCCCTCGGAACAAGATTACACCCACATTCAAGGAATAAGAATGCTTTCCAGATGCAGAATTTTTGGTACCCGCACAAGAGGTTACTCGTGAAAAACAGATCACTAAAGATATCAGGAAGGAAACAGAAGAGTGTATTGTGGTCAAATCAGAGTCGAACTCCCCACACGCCCCTTGACGATATAGGATGCCTTCAAAGCTTTCTGATTAATTGAAAATTTAACTTGCAGGCTTAAACAAAGTTATAGCCAAGTAACATGCACGAGAGGAAATAGTCTTGCAAGGCTACATAATCTCAATACACCATGTGGGAGAGCAATTCTGCTTAGCTCGAGTTAGATAGGATCCTCAACGATCAAACCCCCTATTCATTGATAATAGGCTTTCCCCTTTTATCTGGCAACAAAACAGGTGTTAAGATGTAAAAAAAAACTGAAACCTTTTACAAGGAATCACGTCTACATTAACCACAATGCTTGTGGTCAGAATGCAAACAAAAAAACATACTCTGATAATATATGCATTTTCCTTGAAACTGATTGGTCCACACAGACAGCTTTCTTTTGAGCCTCGTCTCAAACCGCCTTTTGTCAATTGAACCACAAGCAAAAATCTAGCCGAAATGTGGTTGGAGTACGCAAAGGGACAAGTGAAAATAAATTCAATCTTCATGTAGATGACATCGTGCAAACTATAGTGGGGCCCTTGACCTCTATTCACACTCTTCTATCTTTGATCACGGAATACGGAGAAGCCTCGGGCTATAAACTGGACTCAGCAAAGTTGAAGCTGATGCCTCTCTACCCAATCTTGAACAAACCTCCTGATTAACTTTTGCCATTCAGATTATACCATTGGAACCTCATTTGCCAGTAAAAAATATGATAATTGGTTTTTTACCCTTCTATCTGACAACAAAACTGACACCTTTTTTTACAAGGAGTCATGTTTGCATAGACCACAATACCTGCAGCCATAATGCAAACAAAAAACATAACTGTGATAATATATGCACTGTCCTTGAAGTTGATTGGTCCACACCCGAGACAGATTTCCTCAGAGCCTAGTCTCACATGGGTTGGACCAGATGACGCCTTTTGGCCTTTTGGCGTCATTTGGCGTCATCTGGTCCGACCCATGTGAGACTAGGCTCTAAGGAAAGCTGTTTCGGGTGTGGACCAATCAACTTCAAGGACAGTGCATATATTATCAGAGTTATGTTTTTTGTTTGCATTATGGCTGCAGGTATTGTGGTCTATGCAAACATGACTCCTTGTAAAAAAGGTGTCAGTTTTGTTGCCAGATAGAAGGGTAAAAAAACAATTATCATTCAGATTATGTCTATCCCAGATCAATTACGTAGGTGTCGAAATACTCTATTCGATCCTTACTCTAATCCAGAGAAAATGACAACTCTTTTTACAGGAAATCACGAAGTCACTTTCCATGTGGAAGGACATCCCCCTTTCCCTTTGTAACCATGCTCACCTGGTGAACCTGGAGGGCTAAGAGATGATGGAGACAGAGTCCTTGGCTCAAAGGGCGTGACACCTCGTTGCTCGGCATCGCCCTTCGAGTCCAGTCCCTGAGGCCTCGCACTTGGCGGTCTCGGTAGGCCTCAGAGACCTGGTCCGACAGGGCTTAAGTTGACTGTGCTGGCTTCCCAATGAGCACGGGTAACTCCACCGATATCAATCGTCACCCTGACAGTCCGCAGCAGTGTGGCCCGACCAACCACACACAGCAGAGGGCAGGGCAACCCTCAATCTCCTCGCCAGCCCCCACAGCCTCCGATGATAAAATGGCGCCCACCATGTGCCTGGTCTCCCGTCCGGAGTCCCCTGCTCCCGCTCCGATGGCAGCTCCCGCTCCATTTTTCCCGCTGTCCTTTGCGCCGTCCCCTGGGGTCTGCGCCTCATGCCGGCCCGCGCCCCTCTCCACATGGCAGTTTCCTGCCATGCTCCCTGGTCGGCGCTTGACCATGGGAAATCTCAGCCACCCTCTCCGTCGACGTGCAGTCTCTGTCTTTCCGACGACTCGCAACTGCTCTCTTTTAGTCGACGTGCAGTCTCTCCATCGATGCTCTCCCACTCCCGCCACCTGGTGTAGCACTTTAGCCATCGCCGCTCAGCTGCTCTTTTTTGTCAACGTGCTGCTTCTCTCTCTGCCGAGACCTGCCACTTTTGAGTAGCCGCTCACGCCGTCGATGCCCAGCAGCTCTCTGTCGGTCGACGCGCAGCCGCTCCTACCTCTTTTGCATAGCTGCTGATGCACTTGATGCCCAGCAGCCTCGGGTTTTATATAACCAGGTTCCCAGATCCCGGGGCTGTCGGAGCGTCGACCATCTCGCTGTCCTCGTCCCGATGTCCCAATGACACTACTGGTGGGTTTTTAAACTCCACTTCTGACACCAAATGTAGTGTCATCTGTGCTTGTGGGTGGCATGTTGCACCGACGGCATTGAACGGGACAACCAACTACTGTCCGGCCGCGCAATGATCGGGCAAAAGCAGCAGTGATGAGACGAGGGCTACGACGACAGCGATGACGAGACGAGTCCAATCCCAGAACCAGCAGCCCAGAGCTCTTGCTCTCCGCTACATATATTCCCCTCAGCATGGCTTGGCTTCGCCCTAGCCACACCTCCTTTCTTGAACCCTCTAGAGGGTTCCAGAGGATTCTACACGAGGTCTATTACCCTTGCCCCAGTTCCTCCGCCATGCCGGCACACCCGCGTATATGATCAGCGGCGTGTGCGCTAAGTGCCCACCTTCAGTTCCTGCTGCTGTCCAACAGTCAGCGCTATGTCACTACATGTGTATAGGAGTATTATTAATGTGTGTGTACATTTGCATTATGATCAATAGGTGTGCGTGTAGTAATGCGTTTATTATTATTGGCTCGGCTTCTTTGTTTAGGGGTGTATTCTGTGTATGTGGTTATTTGTGATTGATGTGTGTGTGTGATGTGATGCTCGGCTTCATTGTCTAGGGGCATATCGTGTGTGTGTGTAACGGTGTGTGTGATGCCTAGCTTCGTTGTCTAAGGGTGTATTACCTATCGTGATAATGCAATGATTCTCTTTTTAACTTTTATTGATTATGATTCTCGGTTAAACATTTACTGGTTATGATTTTAGTATAATTATTTCCGGTCTCAGGATTCAGATCTCACCGCAGGATACAGTTCTTATAATTAAGATCATTATGCATGAACTTATGAAGGAACCACTCAGACTCTTCTGTGTTAAGTAACTTTAATATCTAAAAACACTCTAATATGTGAACACACTTATAATCGAAATTGCCACAACAGTACACTTGCAAATATCCTACTCATCGATCCATCCAATTAAACCTCAATGGTTACATTGTTAAACTGAGCAATAGAACCATAGGCTGACTCATAGTAATGTGACAATACACGACGATAGGAAAGTACTTAAAAATGACATACGGAACCGTGCTAAAGAAACATGTGCCCAATGACAAAAAGGGGCATCAATTAATTTATTGGTAAGACTTTGTGATAAAAATAAATATCTCAAAACAATAATATCCATGCGAGTGTGTAGATTCGTAAGATAGATGCTTATAAATGTTTAGTGGACATCTATGGATTAATTGGTATGATTTGGCAATTAAAGAAATATCCCAAGACAATAGTGTGCATGCGAGTGTGTAGATTCGTAACATAGATGCTTATAAATGTTTAGTGGGCATAAATTAATTCCTTGGTATGATTTTGCAATTAAAATAAATCTCTAAAAACAATAGGATTAATGCGAGTGTGAAGATTCATAACAGAGATGCTTATAAATATGTAGTGTGACATCAAATGAATTAATTGATAAGATTATGTAATGAAAAGAAAATAAACGACTAAAATATTTCTAAACAACCGTATTCATGCAACTCGAGGGACAGAACAATGCTTCTCCACGATCAGCTAATAGTTAACACAGCACTTTGGAATGACAACTCTTTGTGAAACAAAAAAATAACCTCTTGGAACAAACTTATTGGTACCGTTATGCGCATTGTGTGTGTGTTGGAGGGCAGTCACCACAAGGACCAATGATTATAGCGGGCAGTACGGTTTGAGTTGTCCACGTACTATATCTGCTAACTGTGGTTCTGGGGTCCAGATGGCGTCACGCCGTAGTGCAGCGTTTATCCTCGTACCGAAAATACCTCAGGTCCCCAGCAGGGGGCGTTGGGTCGGCGGGTGTGTCTCGAACACACGGCATTTGTTCTCGGCTGCACTGTCAGGCTCTGTCCACCGCTTGAGTGGTTGTTGAGTCGGCATGCAGCTCACAATGGCGGCGGTGCCCATGCTGGCAGGGATCGGATGGGTCCGGCTCCGTTTGCGTTGGTGTGTGTGATGGTCACGTCGCCAGATAGCGCTCGCAGCTCGTCCGCTGGGCAGCAGCGCGTCACCCCCCTTGGTACCAGACACGCTTTATTGTGTCTCGAGCTCGACCTTTGCTGGAGGGTGCTCGTCTTCCGAGTCAGCATGCTCGTTGGGTAGTCGTGAGCCACTGCGCTGCCGGTCTTGTGAGGACCAGCTTGTTTTGCGCGACCACCCTTGGTGCCCCCCCCTTCTCCCAGGAGGGCTCCTGCTGCGAGCTGCTCGTCGCTGCTCCTCACTCACTCTCCAAAACTCACTCTCCAAAACTCATTAAATGTGTTCACACACCTCTTAGCTTATCACAACTATTGGCTAATCACAGTATTATATGAAAATGTATTCGCACATCTCTTACCTTCTCACAACTCTTATAGCTTAGTTACAGTACAACTTCTCGCAGTCCTTGACTCTGCAAGCGACTCAAAACATAAGGATAAATTGCCTTTTGTTGTTTCAAGGCAGGAGTTCACAGGTATCCGTCTCTGCTAAACCCATATATATATAAATAAGAAAAACTGTTACATTAAAAATAAGCAATATCACTCTTAATAAGAGTTTTTAGAAAGGCAGGTATACAACAACTTTCATATTTATCTATTTTTTGTGAATGACCACATTGATTCTTCAGACCATTGCTCTATTACCTTTTAGCATGAACTGCAACAAAGTAGAACATAGCACCTGCATGATAGCCTTGTGTTATCTGAATGGTGCAAATACCAAATGTATGCATTATTAAATCGTGTGATCTCTTACAGAATGCAGATGGAGTGATTGTAGAGAGACAAATAAAAACCATCAAGGCCACCGATGAGGGAATAGTGGATGGAACATCATTCACAATCCCTGCTATTTCCAAGTAAGCTCACACCCAAATAATGACATGTTTCGTGTAAAAGGATATAATAGCCCACCACCATCGTATTGTGGTGGTGGGGTTTGTGTGTCACAATTACCCTAAAAGAGCTATATCGCCTGGAGTATTGCACAAGCCTTCGGCTGGATACTGTTCAGCTTGAGTTTGTCCCAGTAGATGAGAGAGTCAGCTCAATAAGACTTTGGGTCTCAGAAAGGAAAATTTTGACGGTTGTCTATGCTTATGCACCAAACAGGAGTTCAGAGTATTCGGCCTTCTTAGAAATGGTGGGTGCAGTGCTCGATAGTGTGTCTACTGACTCCATAGCCTTACTGGGCGACTTAAATATTCATGTGGGAAACGATGGAGATACCTGGAGAGGCGTGATTGGGAGGAATGGCCCTGATCTGAACCCGAACAGTGAGGTGTCATTGGAATTGTGCGCGAGTGACGGAATGTTAATAACAAACATCATGTTAGAACACAAAGATGCTCGTAAGTGTACTTGGTACCAGAGCACCTTGGGCCGAAGGTCAATGATTGACTTTATAGTTGTGTAGTGAGTCCAACTGAGTCGCAGACGTTGTTCCTTTTAGAGGCAACACATTTATTTGTAACACGTAACACAAGGGGTAACTGCTCCTTCACCACATACAGCCTAGGGTGGTGACCACCCAGCTAACTATTTTATACAGGGAGTTACTGCTACGAAGGGTCAGGCCCCTACTCGGGTCTGCAATCACGTGTTTGCCCCGAAGACGTAGAGCTTCAAGCTTGAGATGTAGGCTTCAGCTGGTGGACGTGGAGCTTCAGCTTTTAGAATGCAGCGACCCCGGTCCCTCTCAGGGACCTGCCTTATATCCCCCTACGATCGAGGCCGCTCCACCTTTGGCTCCTTCCGCCCTTTGGAGCCTTCTAGCTCCCTCTCGATCCCCCTCGAGAGCTCTCCCTGGACACGTGATCACCCCCTAGTCCCCCCATCTGGGGGCCTCTCTATAGACACTCTAGATCACGTGTCTGCAGGGTCAACTAGAGTGCCATGGCCTGGGGCAACCCTGCCCTTGGGCTGACACTCTCCCACTCACCCTCGTGGGACCCCCCACCACATGCTATGCGTAGTGCCTGCGCTATCCAGCGCTCACGAAGCATCGGTAGGGCTGGTACTACACCCGCTCACAGTGTGTATGCGATGACAGTGCATCGCGTGCCATGGCCCTCTCAGGCCGGCACCATGCAGTGACATTAGCGATGTCACTAATGACGACTTGACACACTGTTCTTGAGATGGCACTTTATTGAAGACACGTTCCCTTGACGTTAGGCAGAGATCCCACTGCAACAGCCCCGAGTCTCCCACGCATCTCCCTTATATATCAATACGAGGCCACGCCCCCCTTCTCGATCATTCTCACTGACTTTGGTCACTCGCTCTACCGGCAGACTCTACCGGCAGACTCTACCGGCAGACTCTACCGTCCTCTTCCGTCACCTGACCATGCTCCCTTCTCTGATATTCTCGTAGCCACCAGTCTCTTCGCGCTCACAACTGATACCCCTTTCATTACCTCCCGTGGCCACTAGCCCCCTCACACCGCATGCAGGCTCTATTTTAATTATATCACCCCCCCCCCATCACCCCTTCTTAAAAATATAACCATCCAGGCTAATACCAAGACTTAAAAAACAAAAATGCACCAATTATGGCAGAATGACAACCGATATCCGCATGGAAAAGAACTCGTCACTTGGCCACATAAGCCACCAACAACACAACATGACGAGTGAGTGGTGCAAGCCACTCCACGCGAATGACAGCAACCGCACCGGGGTACACAAAAAAAAACGCTTGGCCTTGGGAGTTGACAGTCTACCTTGTGGCTTTGAGAGCCACTATCACAGCCATAAAGCTTTCAACCGGGTCCTTGACGCCGGTCAATCGCATGTGGTGGAGTCTTGTGGGCCTCTGAGAATCAGAGGGTCACATTCTGTGGGCGGCATAACACATCTCCTCGGGTTTCACAACCATCCCGGATGACTACCCTGGCACGTCGGACACACCAGACCCTGGCCGCACAGAACTTGGAGATGAGATGACTGGGCGGGGATAGACGTATGGTTTGAAACGCGATGGGGGGACAAACCAACGGCGATGCCCCATCTATATTTGCACGAACCAAACCCGAATCACTTCCACAATCTCGACCGATCCCCACCATGGCAGTGCTACTTTGGCGATGTCTGTAGCAGTATCTGCAGATAACGCAGCCACAATATGTCATTCACCTGGACGTAACCTGCTGCGCCACGGTTGCATCCTGCATTTATTTTCTCGAAGACGCACCCAGTTAAATAGTAATTGGGGTCAAACCAGCACTCGACAACACGTCCAACAAATTGTCCACACGCGTACTCGGCATGCACCAGCCACTGCCTATTTGCATATTCCTTCTCTTCCGGACACATTTGACACGAGCTCTGGTAAAGAGGCTGTCTCCCGTATCAATATGGTGCAGCAATAGAGAAGTACAACCGATGTCACACTTGCTCTCACTGAAAATACCTGAATTTTCAAGAAAAAATACTTAAATTTGCCCCGTTGTGCCTGAGGCAAACCAGGATTCTCATTACAAGGGCTGTCCACGTTTCATCTGATCTGGCTTTCTCTACCCATCACTTCATCGATGGCTATCGCCATCACCTCCTAAAAGGCAGGCTCTCTCCATCGCTTCCACGATATCTGGTGCCACCACCTCGCAACACGTGGACTCACATGAGCCAACACGGTACCTGCTAGAACCACAGCTGTTCCTCCACCCACACTTAACACCTGCAGGAACGGCTCTAGGCCTGCTCCTAGGATCGTCTACGCACTCGCTAGCACAAGCTCGCGGGCCACACTGTTGGACGGCGTCAGGAGAACCGCCGCATCTGGGTCGGGCGAATGCAACCTCTTGTGCTACTGCAAGGGAACCAACCTCTGCATGGCCGGCGGAATCTATACCGATTCCCTCACCAAGGCCCGAATTACGACATTCCACCCACCTCCCTTCCAACAGGATCCAAGAGAAAAAATAACTGCTGCCCTGGCGGCATCACTTCACACTTCCGATCCATCAATTTCTGAGGGCATTCTATTCAAACAGTTAGTATCCCACAGGCTCGCCTTTCTGAAATGACAGCAGGCCCTGTCACCTCAATCCCTATAATCTTTCGAACCCCATTGCTCACCCGCGACCAACGCAACCGACACAACCAACGCGACTGACGCAACCGACACAACCAATACAGGATACAAGGTGATAATGGAGCCCGGGGGACGCAACCGCCTAGATGTGTGAGGTGATGTTTTGGGCCGGGTGTCTAGTGTTGCGACCTGCCTGCCATCATTATGGAGTGGCCCGCAGTGAGAAGACAGATGCCGCCAACGATGCTGTCCAGGCGCCGCTCCGACCTCCCCGTGCGATGTGCCCCAGCGGACCACACCTGAAGCAGGCCATGGTGGGCCCCCGCTGCAGCGTGGTCACCTCCTTCCTTGGTCCCCAACCTTGAGGCCGTCGCGAAGTCTCCCCCCGGTGTCGAGCCCTCTCATGTACTGCTGCCATCACCTATTCCCCCAGCTCCGGATCCTCTTCTATTGGCGGCCCCGCACTCCCTGCTGATCGGACTGTTAGCCTCACCCGACATCGGATCACCTGACCATGCCACCACACGAGGCCGATGGTTCATCCCCTTATTCATCCCCTCATGCGCCTGCAGGCATCGGGCCACCCACAGGAAAGTCTGCACCTCCTCCACAATTGGTAGCACGACTCCCATCTCCTGTACCAGTGCCAGCATTTTCTCCATTGCCAGAAAATCCAGCACCGTCTCGTCCAGCCGTGGGTACACTATCTGGCCCAGTACCATCAATGCGCTGCGATAAGTGATGGGCATCTCAGCCTCTCTCTGCTTTTGTTGCAGCAACTTCCTCCATGTATTTAATGGGGGATCGAAAACAGCCGCCTTTCGTAGCGAAGCCCTTCGCTCCTCCGGCACAGTTCGGAACACCGGGAGGGCATCGTCGTCAAGGGCGGTAGGCAGGGCTCACAGTGCTTCCTCCTGCGACCATCCAATGGCTTGATACGCTGCCTCGAACCTTTGGGTGAAGGCGCCCCAGTCGCCTCCCGCTGCTACAAATTACTTTACAGGTGTCATCCGCTGCGGCTGGTTAATCGCTGTTTCCCACGCCATTGGAGTTGCAGCCGCCTCAGTTGCCATTTGGCCAACTTTCAAAATGGTGTCCATCGATTGAGTGGCTTCTACCGTGGGGACTTCCACCATAACCTTTGCGTTTATTTGTTTCTGTCGGTCGGCCTCCTCTCTCCTTGTTACCGCCGCCACTCCCTCTTCACCAGTGAGGTTGTTCACCAGGTCCCTGCTGCATGGGGCTTGCTGCAGGGGGGTATCCCCACCAGTCTTTGTCGGTGAGTTCTCCTTACAACCGTGTTGTGGCATGATGACATCCCACTTCTGACACCATTTGTAATGACGACTTGACACACTTCTCTTGAGATAGCACTTTAATGAAGACACGTTCACATGACATCAGGCGGAGATCCCACTGCAACAGCCCCGAGTCTCCCGTGCATCTCCCGTGCATCTCCCTCATATTTCAACACGAGGCCACGTCCCCCTTCTCGATCTTTCTTGCTGACTCTGGACGCTCCTTCTACCAGCAGACTCTACTGTCCTCTTCTGTCACCTGACCATGCTCCCTTCTCGAACATTCTCGTGGCTACCAGTCCCTTCACACTCACAACTGATACCCCTGTCATTTGTTCCAGTGGCCACTAGTGCATTCGTACTGTAGGCTGACCTCCCTGTAATTACCTCCCGTGGCCGCTAGTCCCCTCACACAGCATGCAGGCTCTATTGTCATTACATTTATATCATAGGACCTAAGGCCATATGTTCTGGACAGTGCGGGTTTTCTGGGAACGTCTGGTGGATAACCCAGTGCAGAAAAATGTAAACTTCCAGAAAAAAACTTCTATACACCAGGGGAGGTCATGGACATTTAGTCCGAGTGGATGATGTTTAGAACCACGATTGTCACAATGCAGCTGAAAAAGCTGTGGTCTGAAGGATACATGTATTGCCTGTCATGGCAGCAACCCTAGGACACCAGTGGTGAGGGAAGCTGTCAAGATGATGGAGGCTTTCCGAGATATTCTTGGAAAAAGGTCTACCTATTCAATTGAGAGGTACCGGCTTGTCAAGAGGACAGCAGCAGTAGCAGTCACTGAAGCGAAAGCCCAGGCATGGGAAGAGTTTAGAGAAGGCATGGAGAGGGACTACCAGCATGCCTAAAATATGTTCTGGAAAACCATCCATCCTTAGGAGGGGTTGACGGGACATGGCTCGGACTGTTTTCAGTAAGGGTGGCATAACATTGAACACAACTAAGGAAATAGTTAAGAGGTGGAAGGAGCACTTTGAGGAACTCCTCAACCGAGTAGACACGCCCTCCTCTCAGGAGGCAGCTCTGGAAACAACTGGGGGGTTTCTGATCCATCATGGCTGCTGAAGTCGCTGTGACGGTCGAGGTCTTTCATAGCGTCAAAGCTGCTGGGGTGGACGAGACTCGCTCAGAGTTTTTGAAAGCGCTGGACAATGTAGGAGGCTCGTGGTTAACACGCCCCTTCAATGTTGCATGAAAGGCGGATACAGTACCTCTGGATTGGCAAACTGGGGTCGTGATCCCCATTTTTAAGAATGGTGATCACACTCCTCAGCATCCCAGGTAAAGCCTATGCCATAGTGCTGGAGATGAGGCTGCGTCCAGTGGTCGAGCCTCAAATTCAGGAGGAACAATCTGCATTCCGTCAGGGTCATGGAACAATAGACCATATTTTTTCCCTCTCACAGCTATGTGAGGAGTCATGGGAGTATGCTCCTCCAATCTCCCTCTGTTTTGTAGACGTGGAGAAGGCATATGACCATGTTCCCTGGAATGTCTTGTTGGAGGTGCTGTGGGATAATGATTTACCGATGCCGCTTGTGTGTGCTATCCGGTCCCTCTATTCCCGGAGTGAGAGCTGTGTCCGTATTCTTGGTGTTAAATCTAAATCGGTCACTGTGGGTGTTGGACTCCGCCAAGGGTGCGTCTTGTCTCCACTCCTGTATGTGAATTTCATCGATAGGATATCAAGGTGCAGCTGAGGTATGGAGAGTATCCAATACGGGTCAAGGAGGTGCGCCACTGCTTTTTGCAGATGACGTCCTCTTTGCCTCGTCAATCTGTGATCACTTGAATGGTTTGATGCCAAGTGTGAAGCGGCTGGGATGAGGATCAGCACCTCCAATCTGAAATCATGGTTCACTCCCGGGAGATGGTGGAGTGTGCTCTCCTGGTGAACGTGGAATAGCTACCCTTAGTGGAGGAGTTTAAATACCTTGGTCTCTTTCTCGAGTGATGGTAAGTGGAAGCGGGAGATCGGCCGGCAGATCGGTGCAATGTAGCAGTGATGCGGGTGCTGAACCGTGGTAGTGAAGTGAGAGCTGAGTTCTCGAACAAAGCTCTCGGTTTACAGGTCAATCTAGTTCCCACCCTCACCTATGGTCATGAGTTTTGGGTAATGACCGAAAGGTCGTGGGTACAAGGGGCCAAGATTATGTTTCTCCACATGGTTGCCGGGATCACTCTCCGTGTTAGGGTGAGGAGCTCGGTAATCCGGAGAGCCTCAGAGTCGAGCCGCTGCTCCTCTGCGTCGAGAGGAGCCAGTTGAGGTGGTTCGGACACCTGGTAAGGTTTCGCCCAGTAGACTCCCCCTGGAATTCTATCGGGCACGTCCCACTGGGCGAAGACCCTGGAGCCAGCCCAGGACATGATGGTGGGACTATGTCGCTCAGCTGACCTGGGAATGCCTGAAAAGGGAGGTCTGGAACGTCCTACTCAACATGCTGCCGCCGTGACCCTCACCAGGACAAGCGGCTTGAGCAACGAACAAACAAACACTTTAGTCAGTAATAATATTTGAATTATTTTGACAGTTTACAATATCCCAGCTCTAGAGAATAAACTGTGTAAAATATAGTACATCTTCCTGAATAATCCTTAATCACCTTTTTCTTCCATACAGTTTGGGCCATACTGTTACAAAAGCACTGTTATGACATATAATGTCACGTGCCGTGACATTAAACGCAACATATTTTCCTTTTTAGCTGAGAGATGAAGGGAGCTGCCACCGTGGCATAATGGTGAGCGCACTGAACTTGCAATACAGATGAAGTATCGGAATGACGGCAGGAAACCTCTTGACGGGTAGCACACTTTTTATTAAACCTTGACTTGTCACGATACAACGTGCTGTCACTATTCCTCACACTACACACACTTCACTGACACGTGTGGTCACTACCTCTCCCACTACACACTCCACTGACACGTGTAGTGACTGGCTCACGCTGCATGCTCACACTGCATGCTCACACTACACTCCAGCCCCGTAACGTCCGTGGAGCCTACAGACCCACCCCAGCTTGGGCGTGGGTCACAACCTCTGGGTCCCGAGAGCCGGCCCTCACACGGACGTTCGGCCCCGGGTCCCAGGGTCCCGCCTCTGGGTCACACAGAGCCCCAGCCCTTATAAGGACAGCGGGACTAGGTGCCGCAGGGCCCTATCTCTTCTTCAGCCGTCTTCAGTCTTCGCTGGTCACCAACTCCCCGAGCGCCCGCGCGCACCGCCTTATATAGCCCTCTTGCGGACCGCGATGTGAGCACCCACTAGTCGACCAATCACGGCGCGCTGTTCCTACGATCCGTTTTCCCAGCGCGTGTTACCACTACACAACCAATCGCCCCGCGCTGCCACACGATCACTCCCTGTCAGCGCGCGTCACCAACACACAGCCAATCACCACCACATAACCCATGACCCCGCGCTGCCCTGTGATCCCTCACCGTCAGCGCGCGTCACCGGCACACAGCCAATCACCACGCGCTGCCCCACGATCCCCACTGTCAGCGCGTATCACCACTACACAGAGGTTACACATTCAATTGCATCCCTGGCTCTTACACCCAACAGTGTGTTCAGAATCGTTTACCATTCCGAAAGTCAGGAACGAGTGGGATGTGAGTAATGAATGCACTAAATGTATGAACTACACCGTGGCAGGCCTCAATGTAAAGAAAATGTAAAGGGGCACCTCTACAACTATGTGCTCACTTTATTGCTGGTGAAAGGGCCAGGGCAATAGAAAGCTCGACAGAAGTGCTTCACAACTCTTTTGATTTCACAGCACACTTTTGAACTTGCTCGATCTGAGTGGAACATCGAACCAAAAACATACTGTGAGTCCTTTATCCAGCAGTGATATGCCGCTATGGGTGGGTTTGCTGCGTCATGAAAATATGATATTTCCACAGTTGCGTCTATGGTTCTTCCCTTGATAACGGTATGTTCCCCAGGCCTAGTCGCAGCCAATTCGCTAAAATTGTGGAGTTGTGTGTTTTACGTATCAAGCATGTGTCTGTCTGTGTTTGATTTGAAATTGTAGTCTGCGCCCCTCAATGGAAGGTTTGCAAACTACACAAACTCTCTCCTGAAGCCCACTTGTCGCTAGCAGATCCCAACATCGTCATTCAGCTCTTGAAATATTCCCATATGCAAGAGCAGAATTGGTCATTGTTGTTATGGCCAACTGTTTGTCCCTCTATTGTATGGTTTTATTTGGATTTTTGTGTGTCTTGTGTGTTCATTTCAATGTCTATGTGTCTGTCTATCTTTTTTATGTTGATCTCTGTCTCTATATGTGTGTTCATAATTAAATTTAACTCTCTATGTCTGTTTAATTTAACTGTGCCTGGTTTATTGTTTAATTGCAATGGCTGTGTGTCTATTTAATTATGTTATGTTAATATATGTGTGTCTTTGTGTTAATTATTGTATTTCATTGTCTGTTGATCAATTTAAACATACCATGGACATATGAGACTTCACCGCGACACGCCGGTTGTGAAGCACTGCTCTAGAGGGCATTTTCTGTATTGTACTCTTATACATATCAGGCGTGTTGGAAGAGGTTACCCACACTTTACCCCACAGTGACCTGCTTTTTATTGACTTACTATGCTACTGGGTGGAAAGAGGTGGTGGGGTGGTGGGGTAGTTGATAAACCTGTTTCATTGTTGCAACTGCGGCGTCGACTTCTGGATGGCATGTGATCAAACGATTACACTCCTGATGGAGCTGCTGTCATTTGTCAGTTAAAAACGTATTCATGTTGTGTTCGTTTCTAGAGACATGCATGTACCCGGTTCACACTGTTTTTTCACAGTTTTTTTATGCACTTTTCGGTAATACATAAAATAAATTTTAACAACCCCAGCAATAATGATGCTCACGGTATTGTTATCCACAGACATGGCACTTGGAAGATTTTTGCCCGAATGAGTGGAGCACCCAATATCAACTCATCTGCTGAGTTTGATGTCCGGGAATACAGTATGTAAACATTCAAATCTTCATATTCAATCATAGCATTTGTCACTACATTGTGTTCTGCCCACATTCTTCAAGGTTCGTCCAAATTCTCCTATTTCGTCCCTTAACTAAAAAACCCATGCAATGTAACTGGGATTGACCATAGCATCTCAATGGTGAAATATTACTTGCAAATTATTCCATTTGAAAACACAACGCAATATTGCCCTTCACTGACAGACTAATGCCTGCTTCAAGACCAGGTGCTAAGATACCTTGTACCTACAAGGACAGCTGCCACTGGGGGTGCCCCTTTAAAAATGTTTGAGATGACTTGTGATGTAAATTGGTTATTAGGGTGTGATGCGCTCTGTGATGTCTGGACCTGAAGGGAGCTGTTTAAAAAACACATAATTGTATCAAGAATGTTTCATGGAACAATGTAGATATGTTAAAATATAATGCCAATACGGTGTCTTTAAAACTAAATGTATTGTATATGCTGTAATTTGATGTGTACGGTTTTCAAATATTTTTTATGTAATTCGTAAAAAGTAAGATGTTTTATATGCGTATTAAACACACACAAGCTTAGTTGCACATGAATATTTCCCCAGTCTTGCCGACCTTTGAGGTGAAGATTAATCCCAAGCAAAGAGTGTTTCACATCAACGATGAAGAGTTTGTTGTGGACATCACTGCCAAGTAAGGCAATGTAATATCTTCTCATCTATATAAGTTGAGGTGATAGATATATATATATATTACACCACATGCTAATGCCCATAACGAATATGTTAATAGTACCAACTTTCATGCTTATAATCAGTGGAAAATTGGCTAAACATTAAAACAGCAAACACCACCTGTCACTATCCTGCTGAAAGATACCAAGAGGACAGTAACGTGGCCCATTGGTAGCGCATTGCCACCTTCCTGCCAATGTTCATAGTTCTAATTCAGCAGAACAACCTGGTTAATACTGTGGGAATATTAACTGTAGACTACTAGACGCCATCTGCTTCACAGTGGACGTGACAGACCGTGTGAAGTCATTGGAAATGAGTAGGCAAGTGTGTGCAGGCCTCACGGTCAATATTTGGAAATGTACCCTTAGGTTATTGACTTTCAATTACACAAAGCAACAACACCCTCGACTGTGAAATTACTGCAGACTGTACATGTGAAACAGTTGAGTGCGAATAAGAAGATGGGTGTGGATGAAAATATACTATTCATTTTTTTTATTGTTTACTCTGACTTTCCATCAAAGCCCGATTCACTGAACCTGTATTGCATTGTCTGGTATAAAACAACTTAAAGGCCCAAATAACACATATATACACATATTCGTGACAACTCCACTCAACTCACCAGTAAAATGTCATATAAGTAAAGCAACATAGGACCAGTATATCATCTTATGATATATGTAGTGTCTTGGTCCAAGGTGCTTTACAAAAAATATAAAATTGTATATTTAATAATTTGTTAAAATAAAGTGAGGTTATTAAAAGTGGTGTTATAGCTATGGTAACATTAACGAGGACAGGTGGGAGTGGTTAAGGAGGGGTTTTGGGTAAGGGTAGGGACAGATGTTGGGCTTGTAACAGGGGTTTGGGTAGTGATAGGGGTTGGGGTAGTGATAGGGGTTGGGGTAATGATAGGGGTAGGCTTGGTTGTAGCTGGGGGGTCGGGGACAAGGAGTAGTAGTAGGATATGCAAGGGAGAAGGGATGGGTATAAGGGAGAAATGGAAGCAGGTTCAATCTAGATTTTAAGTTTTCGTGACTGCAGGAATCCATACTCTTTGGTTCTTTTGGTAAAATCACGTAGGTATAAAGTAAAATGAATCGTGACGTTTCGATTGCAACACAAGAAATCATCATCAGGTGGGAAAACCACAGCAAGAAACATTTTTTTTTACAGTCAGCATTCGGCAACTTTCCTCCTCTTTCCTCCTGATAACGATCACTTGTGTTGTGATCGAAACGTCTAAGTCTTTTTGTTATTTTCTTTGAACCATCTACATGACTTTACTGAAAACCCAAAGAATATGAACCCTGCCCTTCCTGCTGTGAGGCACGAGTCTTACCATTGCGTCACCCTGCTGCCGTAAATGTGCATAACTTTTTGTCTTTATTGTTACAGTTACTTTAATCAGGAACTCGTGTCTGGTACAGCATATGTACGATATTTTCTTGAAAACGGAGATGTACCAAAACTGGTTGATTCCAGTTCTACCACGGTAAGCAGCGTGTTCTGAATTAATGTACGTGTTTCCTGTAATAACATTTTGTATTCACGCCAATATTATAGCACAAGGACATCACGAAGGCACTGTTTCTCAGACACAAGCTTTAGTAGTTTAACTGTAGGGGGTGATGTTGCAATGTGTAATCCCATTTCAGTAATTTGTCAGTAATTTTTTTACTTTTGCAAATTTGTACCATCACACCGCCCACAATGGCCTAATTTTTTTTATTACGTCAGGGTAACTTTAATAAGCACTATGAAGCAGACCGTGCATATTTGTGCGGTTAATACACCAACAGTAATAACCAGGGAAGCCTGCCGGCTTCGAACTACAAACTTTCGAGGCAAGCGATGAGCATGGTTACTGCTGGGCCACTCCTAACACATCACATACATGCAAAACATTTTTGGCACAATAGTGAAGAAGTTGACAGGCACGGAGTGACATTTGTTCACTGCATACAAGACTGAGTCACATGATACAAGTTAATTAGCAGTTGCATATTTTACCTTCAAAAGCTTGATTGGAGCACATGGTACAGATAAATGGTCTAGCGATACCGTGTTTGCCACATGTTGCAGAGGTCCATAGTCGACATCCAGCCAGCTGCCCTGGTTAATATCACAGGTGTATTAACCGTAAAATACACACTGCTTGAGTGGATGTTAAAGATTCCATAACTCAATTAAAACATGAATAGGCCATTGTTTGTTCATGAAGCATTCCAGATATACAAACATAGACATAACTTCAACCGAGAGAATGAATTCAACTTCTTGGTTCTTTCGGTAAAGTCACGTAGAAGGGAAGTAATAAAATAATAAAAATAAAACATAATAAAATAAAATAATTCTCACGACGTTTCGGCCACAACGCAAGCAGCCGTCTTCAGGTGAAGAATGAGACACTGCCAAGCTAGGAGCTTATATATAAGCTGCGTTGGAGGTGGAAGAAGAGCGCCTTAACAAAAGAATGTGCATATGAAGAGGAATTTAGCATATTCATGGCAAATGCGTAGGAGGTGGGCGGGGGGGTTTCAAAGTCATGTTATGCCCATGCATTATGCAGGATCAGCAGCACCAAGGGGGGGGTGCAGGGATTAGCAGTAACAAAGGAAAGGAATGTTAATGATATGTAGCTGCAGTTACTCAACAACCACGTAGAAAACTAAAGTATAAACTACATAAAAAACTAAAGTATAAATTGCATAGCACCATCAGTATACTTACTATACTCTACAATAAGCTGAGTTACTAACAGCAAGTAATACATTACAATTCTACGTCGTAAAAATTATATAATATGCTTCCATCTAAACTTTATTCTATTGCATCATACGAGCATATACCGTACTATATACTGCCAACATTAAATTATATACTGTATTGCTGTAAACCAACCTATACCTTATACATTTAATATAACACTATGTATTATTCTACCCACCCTAATGTGTGTCGAAATGGTTTATTACGTCCTTACAATGATTGCTAAGCCAGAATCCATCTTCTCGGTTAAAATTGTCTCTGTGTTTGTATATGTGGATCGCCTCATGAACGAATCTCTCATGATAGCCAGATGGCTTGCAGAGAACCTCTGTCTTAGACCAATTTCTCGACCACATCAATTCCATACACCCAGCCATCAGATTCACCATGGAAGTCGAAAAAGATGGCAAGCTACCCTTTTTGGATGTCCTAATCAAAAGGAGACCTGATGGTTCAATGAGCCACTCTGTCTACAGGAAAGCCACCCATACGGATTCTTACCTAAAACCGGATTCCCACCACCATCCATCCCAGAAGAATTCCCTCATCAAGACTCTATATCATAGAGCCCAATGCATCTCCGACCATGAACACATTGCCAGTGAACTCAAACACGTACGCCAAGCTCTTAAGGCTAATGGTTACTCCGACTACACAATCCGCAAAGCCATCACTCCAACCATCAAGAAGGATCCTGTTGAGGAGCCTTTCAAGACCATCACCTTACCCTACATTGCTGGGGTCACAAAAAAGATCTCCAAAATCCTGATTAAACACAAGATCCAGGTCCGATTCAACACAGTACATAAAATCCGTGATCTGGTACCGTCTGTAAAAGATGTGGTTCCAGACATACAGTACCCTGGCGTCTACAAACTAAGTTGCCTCTGTGGTAGCAGTTACATTGGGGAAACCAAACGACATGTCTCGGACCGCATCCGTGAACATAAAGCTGACCTGAAACACGGTAGGACAAACACCTCAGCCGTGGCAGATCACTGTTACAACTCAGTGGGCTCACATGATATTGACTTCTCCAAGACAGAGGTTCTCTGCAAGCCATCTGGCTATCATGAGAGATTCGTTCATGAGGCGATCCACATATACAAACACAGAGACAATTTTAACCGAGAAGATGGATTCTGGCTTAGCAATCATTGGAAGGACGTAATAAACCATTTCGACACACATTAGGGTGGGTAGAATAATACATAGTGTTATATTAAATGTATAAGGTATAGGTTGGTTTACAGCAATACAGTATATAATTTAATGTTGGCAGTATATAGTACGGTATATGCTCGTGTGATACAATAGAATAAAGTTTAGATGGAAGCATATTATATAATTTTTACGACGTAGAATTGTAATGTATTACTTGCTGTTAGTAACTCAGCTTATTGTAGAGTATAGTAAGTATACTGATGGTGCTATGCAATTTATACTTTAGTTTTTTATGTAGTTTATACTTTAGTTTTCTACGTGGTTGTTGAGTAACTGCAGCTACATATCATTAACATTCCTTTCCTTTGTTACTGCTAATCCCTGCACCCCTCCTTGGTGCTGCTGATCCTGCATAATGCATGGGCATAATATGACTTTGAAACCCCCCCGCCCACCTCCTACGCATTTTCCATGAATATGCTAAATTCCTCTTCATATGCACATTCTTTTGTTAAGGCGCTCTTCTTCCACCTCCAACGCAGCTTATATATAAGCTCCTGGCTTGGCAGTGTCTCATTCTTCACCTGAAGACGGCTGCTTGCGTTGTGGTCGAAACGTCGTGAGAATTATTTTATTTTATTATGTTTTATTTTTATTATTGTATTACTTCCCTTCTACGTGACTTTACCGAAAGAACCAAGAAGATGCATCCCTGCAGTCACGAAAGCTTTAAATCGAACGAATGAATTCAAATTAAGCAATCACTGGAATGATGTTATTAACCAGGTAAAATCTTAATTGCTCTTATAGCTTGCTTACACACTCGCATTTTCTGTGTAATAAAGGACTCCTTTACACGATGTTGGTATCCGTCTGTCCTTTATTGATGTTCTTCTCCTCCGCACCCTGCTGGCCTCCTCCTCGGCCCAGCGTCGTCTCTCCTCGCGCCCCGCGCACTCTGCAGCCACCCCGCTGCTCCGTGTGCTCCCGCACACTCTGCAGCCACTCTGCTGCCCGTGCAACCTCGCACGCTCCGCTAGCCCCGTGCAACCCGCACGGTCCCGCTAGCCACTCCGCTAGCCCCGTGCAACCTCGCACCCTCTGCTAGCCCTCCGCTAGCCCCGTGCAACCTCGCACCCTCTGCTAGCCCTCCGCTAGCCCCGTGCAACCTCGCACCCTCTGCTAGCCCTCCGCTAGCCCCGTGCTACTTGCACGGTCCCGCTAGCCACTCTGCTAGCCCCGTGCAATCTCGCACGCCCTGTGCGCCCCGCACACTCCGCTCTCTCTCCGCACACCGCTAGCTGGCGGTGTGCCAAGCCCTATCAGCCTCATGGCTGATGGCACGGCGGCCACCCAACGTGGTCTCGCCTCTTCACTCCCTCGACTCCCCAGATCTCTTCCGGGCTCCCTCCTATAACCTCTCCCCCACGTGACCCTGGCTCCTCCCTCTCGGATCGTCACATCCGGCCTTCCTATTTATGCTCGCATTACATGACCCCCCCCCTAAAGAAAAAATCCAGCCGTCCTCGGCTAAAACAGGACGAAATAATGCGAGCGAAGGCATCACAATCAGGAATCACCCCAGACACAACGGAGATTATAACAACAACACAAGTAACGAAAGGAGGGATCAGGATCCGGTACAGAACACCGGCCCGTCCTCCGCGCAACAAGCAACAAGAATTAAGAATGGAACAATGCACAACAACGGCAACCGACACGCAAGAACGGCCGACGCGCATAACCCAGGAATGCGGTGTCTTAGAGCGTGTTCGTGTTGCTGTTCCATCCGCTCGGCTCAAGTCCAACGTCAGAGAGCAACTGGTAGAGCCGGAGTGATGAACGGGCGCTCAATTCCTCCTTCAAGTCCACATCCGGTAACACCCAGTGTGGCAGGCGCCGAAGATCTGTGATGAGAAGGAGAATCCAACCCCCTGAGGCACAGCACAACAACGCACATCCGCATGTCGTGCACGACAACCACCCGGCCCCAGGGTAGTGGAGATGATGTAAATCCGGCCCGCTTAAGGAAAACCCCAATAAATACCCAAAATAGACGCGATGGATGCCCCAGTATTTACATTTTAACAACAATATTATTTACACGTGACAACAACAAAAAATTCCTGCTCTTGCCCACCAGCAGTCCTCCCTTGAGGACCAGCATAGACATATCACGTACACAGCATGTACCCACTGTCACTCTCAACAAAGCCCCCAGCCGCACACCCTCGCGTGGAGAGAGCCACGCTCCCCAGCGGTAACATTTAACCCGCCTTCACCCTCACCGTGGTCGTCCAACCACAGCAACAACCACTGACCATACATTCGACTAGTGCAATTTCGGGGACGAGCAACAACTCAGCCATGCTCCTCCCTTACTATCCCATCAGCGATAGACACACACCAGCATCTTATAGTCTGACGCTTTATAGCCAAGGGAAGATTCATCCCTCGGCAAGGCCAGACCCCATCAACCTCCCCACGGGCAATGTGCCCTTACACATTCAATAACGCCCTAGCCCAGAGCGGAACAAGTCCGCGGCCCTTCCCGCTGGA